TAATAAGATAAAATAAAGAATTGTCCATGAATATATTGAGTATTTGTTTTGAATAGTCCGTGTGTAAATTAATTTTCATGTTAAAATTAAAAATACTTTTTGTTGTCTCAAAAATCTCAAATTTCCTTTGTGTAATCCCTAAAACCTCCTTAATACATTTCAAACGTTTTTTTACTAAATCCTTATAGTTTATATGTTATTTTCTCTACCCTATCTCAAAACGGGATCGGTCAATTCGACCGACCTCGTAACCACCAAAAAAAAATCAAAATAAACCTAAATTACCCTTCTTTTCTTTCTAGAATGACTTCATATTGTAACCTGAAACTACATTCGTTTATCCTAAGTAGCTGTAAGTTTGTAACAGTTTACATATATTTATAATTAAATTTTATTGTTTAATTGCCCTTTGAACCGTGTCTAACTGCTATCCATGCCATTATAAGTTGTAAATCACTCGGGGAATGTGCAGCTCACATTACGCTATCGAATTACATTACCTACGAGTTGCTCGCATGCGTGATTCGTGAAGAATTTTAATTATATTGTTATTATTACTTATTTTACCTATTCTAGTCTTAAATAACTTAAAAAGATCTGTACTTTTAATTTTAGTTACTTTTATATTAATAAATAAAGAATAAATATGAAAAACAAGAAATAAAGTACTTATCCAATCTTCTTTTTTTCTTGCCCTCGATTGTCAAGTAAAGTTAAGCCTGATTTTTTTTTAGCGATTGTGGTAAAGCACTTAACAATTTTTATATACTTAATGAATTAAAGAATATAGACTAATAACATGCAAAAACTAGACAAATTCACTTATTTCTAAAAATTTTCCTGGCTCTCTAACTATACAACAAAAGCTGTTACAAATTTGTCCAAGCTAGTCATTAACTTTCCCACAGAAACGATGTTGCTACTTAGAGTGAAATTGATGGTTATCTGTTCAAAACACAATGTTATACAATATGCCATTTGATAGATGAAAACCTTGACTTTCTATTGGTTATAGGTAATATATAATGAAACATAAGAGAGAACTATCAACCAATTGTGAAAGAGAGGATGTGGCAGGAGGGCTCTGTTTTTCTCTTTAATAGCTCTGTAACAAAACAAAATTGAAAGCCATAAAAATTATGGTTTGAGCAATAATGATTATATAGAAAGTATTTTACGTTTAATATCGTACATTTTCGAGGGGTGATGGATAAAATAGGGATGGTGACATGCTAAGACAAAATGTGTCACGTGTGTCATACTAGTGGAAATTCAGGATTTTTTTATATATATTTCCTTTTAGAATTAAAATATAAAATTTGTATACTATTAAAATATGGATTATTAGTTAAGATTTTATGCTATTCTAATTGGTATAACATAAACAAAAAGTACTTTAATAAAATTTTGAATGTAAGACACTAAAACCTTGTATCATGCGCAGTAAAGGGTACCCGTGCAGAAAGAGTTAATTTCTTGAAGACCTAATAGTTGACACTACATACCATTAATTTTATAATTTACACTTATCATTAATTTTGTTTTCTGATGACCTAGATTTTGTCCGTTTTCCTTCTCTTACTCCACTTTTTTGTCATTGGGTTTGGATTGTGAATCGATTTGCCTTTTATTCCATGTCTCCTCCTTCCCATTATTACTTTCTAGTGTCTTCACTCCAATCATGCACCTTCCCTTTTCCCTGCATGCCTACCCTGCTGTCTGTTGGAGGTACTTAATATGGTGAGCACTGGGTCTACATGTCATACATTCTTTTTCCATTCTCTGCTTTGGGTAAGTGTTTCTTTCTTGTTGGGGTACCATCTTCCACCTGTTGCCATCCATTATTCTTTCATGGGACTGTGACTGGGTATGTTACCTTTTAGTGTGTATATATATATATATATATACCTCTTCTTTTTCGGGGGCATGATCATCATTTTCTTTCTGGATCCTGCTCTGTGGCAAGTGGTGCCTGACCGGGTATTCTTTAACCTTTCAAAGACAATGTTGACTTGCATATTATGATTCCATGGCCATGCAATTCTTACTGCAGCGATGGGGTGTGTCCACAAGATCGGTTGTAGGTTTATTTTCATCATATGTTTGCTTCATTAGTTTGCTTGTCCTGGACCTTACTCACCCATGAACTACGTGGGTAAAGCAGAATGGGATAGCTGTCTATCCCTGCCATGCCTTGTATTGAATAAATCAGTATGGTTTGCTTTTCAAAATAGGGTTCCATGGTCACCCATTGCACTGTCTCAAGTGTTGACATTCCTTTGGACTCTTCACCATGCTCCCCCCTTTCTTCTAGTGGAGTTTTAGAGTCCTTACCACTTTCCAATTCTATACCACTGGGGTGGTGAACTGTGGAGGCATCCTCCTGTGTTAATGAAATACAAATAATATATATAAATGATTATAAAACCATTCAGTTGAGAGTAGGGCAGTGATGTTCTGCTGGTGTAGATGATAAGATGTGAGCCATCAAAATTGTAGTTCACCCCTTTGATTGGGATCCCTCCTCCTACCCCCACATGTATGTCAGTCCCCAGTGGCTGGGTTTTGGATTTAGAGCTGAACCAATCAACTTAAGTCCTCACACATGTATCATAGATGTCTCTATTCCCTTGCTCATTTAAAATCTTTTTGCTCCATCAGTGTTGTAGGTCACACTGGAGGTACATGTAGATTACTATGGTTCTTCCCCTTCTGGTATCCCTCCATGCTTATTATTCCGAGGATGTTACTGCGTTTGAGGTGGTTCCGGTCATTATATCTTTGAGTGAGATGGCTTACATTATACAGACATCTTTCTGATGCCAGATATCAGGTTCCCCAATTGATCATTCAATTTCTCAGAGTATCATGTGCCTGTTATCAGTCAATTCCAAATGGGTAGGAGTTTCAAGGTTTGTTGCGTGCATAAAAAAAAAAAATTGCATATCGATGGCAGCATTGAACAAGAATAGCTATTTATGTGAGTAGAGGTAAGCACCTATCAGAAATACATTTTCGGTATAGACAAATTATAACTTTAACTATTTCACAAAAGTTAAAAGATGTTCAAGTTGGGTAGAAACTGGTTTATCTAGGTTTGTATGTACAAAGTCTACAGTAATCCACTGCTGATGATCACTTTATATTAAAAAAATTAATTTATAATGAAAAGTTTCTGTTTAATTACCAAAAGCTGGTGACACATTAGAAGCCAGTACTTAAAATTTCATTTTTATTAATCATAGACAAATTAATAGGAATCTGGAGAGAGAGACAAATCTGCAGTTTACGTGATTTATATTTTATTATTATCTCCAGTGAGCAACCAATCTAGTAGAGTATATCTAACCACACTATAAGCAAAACTGCACTGCAGGGGCTGAATAGTGTGATTCTAGTCAGCTTACACATGTGTTTATTGTCTTGCTAACTAATCAAACAAGTTAAAGCTGCTTCCTCACTATCTCCATTTCTTGATATTTGGCCTGGGAATGCCTTGCAGTTCAAATAGGAATTGCAAAACTGGCATGACACTGTCATATGAACAGTCTTGTTAACCACTATCATAGTAACCTCCTGTACTCAGAATCTTGTAATATAAATGACTGAAATGTATATATCATGAGTGCATTGATACTAACAGTTTTTATGGTACTTTATAAGTTTTGCTGGCAAAAATACAACACTAACCAGAAATCAATTAGTTTACTAACATTAATTTTTCAATCCCTGGTTTTGGAATGAGCAAAAATATTATTAAGAAAAAAATATAAATGCATTGCTTATAGGTAATACTCCTTGGTACCATATAAAAATGAAAGTTTGAAACTTATTAAGACTTTATTTGCAAATTGCATTAAATAAAATGTTAGAAGATGATAAAATATGAATTCTAAAATATTTTGGAGTGATGTACAATTGACAACTGAAGGGTGCTCTGCAGCTCATATAGGGTTAGTCGGTCCAAATCCACCTCGTATTTGCAGTACTATGAAAACTTTTTTGTTAAAAATAATTTTAAACACTCAAAACTGTGTATTTAGTAATATGGTAAATTATGATAAAATTCCAGCTTTTTTCCCAGAAATAATACTGTATAAACTCAAAATACTCAAGTAGAATTATAATCATGTGAACAGTCTTGTTAACCACTATCATAGTAACCTCCTGTACTTGGAATCTTGTAATATAAATGATAAATGTATGTATCATGAGTGCATTAATGCAGGCAGTTTTTTTCTATTATTATCTCCAGTGACCCTGAGAATGGTTTAAAACTTTTTTTCTGCATATTTCAAGTAGTATTCAATTGTTAAAAATTATGATAATGACTTTTGATCACTGTTTTTGCCAGTTCTCCTTTTAAAATTTCAGAAGCTAAACACTCATACAAATATTAAATATGTAAAAAACTTTTTACATAAAAACTACATATCCTTTGAACATTTGTGTCAAATTTGAGCAGTTAATTCAGTAATTTGCTTGTGCAACCCAAAAAACTGGGTTTATCTTCCGAATGGCTCAGTCCCAAAATGGTTAACATTCTTTGAGAATTTTTAAGTTCTAGGTAGTAATGTTGTAATAACTGATAATGTTTTGATTCTTCTGGTTAGTCATTATTGCTTTAAATATTTCTTCATCATTAGCTTGTCATATGGTGATAAAAATAGATTTGACTATTATTTGTAGAAAATGACAAATAAATAGGCTTAATATATTTTCAATTAATATTTTAGTTTTATTCAGTCAGGACTTGTTTGAAGTTTATTATAAAAATCCATCGCAATGAAATAAATATTATAATTATCTTTGTATTACTTTATTAACTTGTTTTTAGTAATTAGTTATAATAGAAATATTTTATTTTTTAAAACTTAAATATAATGCTAATGTCATGTTTAATGTTAGTTGTATGTTGGTGTAATATACACACATACACACACACAGGTATGTGTATATGTATATTTGTTTAACATAAAAATATTTTTTAAATTTTACAGATTTTAGCTATGGCTTGTATAACTTTAGCATCTAAAATTGAAGAAGCACCAAGAAGAATCCGTGATGTGGTGAATGTGCTCCATCACATCAAACAACTTCGTGCTGGAAAGTAAGTAAATATTCTTTGTTTACCATACAAGAATATTGAAATATTTCTATTTTTAAAAATGTTTTATTTTCATATTGTGCTAATAAATACTATTGTCCCAAAAAAGAATACATTTTAGGTTTATTTGGTTATCCATCGTATGTGTTTTGGTGAAAAAAAGTTCCTTGATCAGAAAAGTCATCTTAACATGTGAGATTTTGTGGCTATGGATTCACCAGAATTAGTTGTGCAAGTTTTTGGGAAGTATCACACCAAGCACCTCATTCTAGTGCAGATTGTTGGTAAGTAAAAATCATCTATTAAAAGTGACCACAGTGGATGTATTGAGTTCATGAAACACGTAAATATCTAATTGATGAGGAACTTCAATATTAAATTGTTCTCCCTCCATGATTTTGATTTTAGATACTTTTATAACAAACTAATCATCTTAAACTATTTATTTATTCAATGTGTCAAAATATTATTGGCTTCTTTATTAGTTTTGAGGTGTCATAAGCATATAAAGATAACAACCATTATGGCTTATATTATTTTGAATAAAGTTATCATCATGTGTAAACTTAAATCATAATTAACACTAAAGTAGACTCTATGTGAAACCTGCTGTCATTATTTCAATTTAAGAAACATTACATTCTATATATATTATGATACATGTTCAGTTATTAAAATTTTGCAATTGAAGAAATGCCACGAGTATATGCAAAATATATAAGTATGAATACGGCAAGGATAGTACAAAACATTCAGACATTTTGAGAAATTCAGTTTAACCTTTTCTTGTTCATGGGACAGTGCAGGACTACTAGTGTTTTAGCACTAATGTCCTAAATATTTTATTAATAAGTTTTAAACATTATTTTGACTTTCCTGGCTAGTTATATCCAAACAAACTCACTTAGAGCAGGAAATTTTCTTGATTAGTTAGAGAAAAAACATATGCCATATAATTTTAATGTATTGAAATGTAATCTAAATCAACTTTCAACAAGATTAAATGCATTCATATTATGTTTTTTTTTAAATTTTGAATACAAAAATTTGATGTACTAATATGCCAGTTTCTTAACCTTTGCAACTTCTTGAATTAGATGTGTAATGTACATTTTTGAAAGAAGTTGTATTTGTAAGCAGTGAACTGTATAAAGAAATTTTTTTGTTTATTGATTGAAATTTTAAGCATATTGAAACTAAGTTGTAGTTTTGAAAATTTTCTCAAATAATGCACGGAAAACCAGAATGAGGGACGTATTAGAATGATAATTATAAATCGAACGTAACTTTATCACAAGATGACGTACAAAAATAACAATAATTGTTAAGAAGGTTAATAAAACGTAGCAGAAGGATTTTATTAACTAATGTTTTTAAATCACAAAATAGAAATGCGAATCACCTATTCTATTTTTCACTCATTTATAGCATTTTGAAAAAACATTTCTTCCAAAATGTATTCATAGTACATACTTGTGCAATGATTTGTTTCAGTAAGCAAGTTAAATGAACAGAAAAATGTTAGGCACTTTATAGCATTCAATCTGAAAAGGTAAATATAACAGTGAATTGTTATTTTTAGGATTGCATACATACTTTAGAGGTACAACTTTGAATCACTGGTACAGTTTTTACCAACTCCCATTTTCAATGAAAGATAATAATTAAAAGCTTAGAGGAGCTTTTAAATAATTCTGAGTTAACAGTATAACAACTATTAAGTATATTTCGCATAAATAAGACAAACTCTTATTTTTGTCAAAATTTTACATCTTTACTGAGACAGAATAAGAACTTTTTGCATTTGTATTAAAATCACACCTTTCTAGTAGTAGTAGTTATAGTCTGAGAGCAGTAGTGACTTGTATTTTCTCTTCATGTGACCTGTAGCTTACTCTCAGCAGTGGACCCAGGCAGCCTCCAGCAGTTCTTCTCTCAGTCTGGGGCTGACTTGTGTGCTCCACTGGCCCTGGGTGGCCAGCAGGACTTGGTTTGTATGACCTAGTCTCCATCTCCAACCTTCAGTGACACTTCCAGCTCACCAACAAGAATTGAAGCATTTTCACTTGCTTTCTGTGTCATAAAGAATGGTTCTTCAACCAGGTAACTTGGGTATCTGTTTTCGTTACTGGCATCACTACCTTCCAAAATAGACCAGACAGCTTTTACCTATAGCTTAAGCACAAGTGTGTGTGTGTCTATATATATATACATATATACACATACACACTGTATTGTATGTTATCATGCAGCAGTTTTAAATTATACTCTTGCTTCGGATAACTTTCTGTTTTTGTTCAAACCTTTTTTTTTTCCCCCCAGAAATAGTTGCAACATGGTTACTGATAAAATCAATTATAAAACCTTTTTTTTATCCATAAGATTTCCTCAACTTAATCTGTGTTGTTAATATTGATCAAGCAGATTTTGTAGAATAATGTAGTATCTATTTTCCCTTGAGCAAAGAATCTAGATTCTAATATACAAGTATTTACAGAAAATTAGTTTGAACTGTCTTTCTTCTACAGTTCTGTAGAGGTTATGGTAATGTTGATGTTTTTCAAAGCTCAAATGGGGATTTTTATTATCAGATAAAAATATTCAAGGTACTAGTCAACATACATCTGCTTATCTGTAACATTCATTCTTACATAATGTTTTATGTATCTAAAAAAGTATTTCAAATTATGAAACATATGAAAGATCATTTAAAGCTATAGGATACTCCAAAGGTTATCTATTTTCATCACTAGATAATGCAACAGAGCACTTTTGAACAACAAATTTTAAGTGAAAAAAACAAATACCTAATCATGCCCTCAGTTGGATCCAAACACAGTTTTAATATTTCTTATTCATTGATGGCTTTACTTCTCTTATATTTTGCACACAAACACACATATCTATAGAAAAATCTAAGAAAGTGAGGAAGGGAAGTAATAAATATTGTTATTTGTGGAATGTATTCATCAGGTCATCCTACCTAATGACTGTCTGAATATTTCATAGAAATAAACAACACTGTTTGGTATCTATGATATTGGTGCCTTTACAAATAGTGTGATAGTTTGAGTGTTCCTTAGTGGAATTTTTTCCCCAACTTTAGATCTTTTGAGTATCACAGTCACTCTAAATATTGTGAAGTATTTTGTGACTCCGATGCTAAAAATTTTTTGGAAGAAATGATATGAAGTCGTAATTTTAGTGAATGTAAACAAAATTATAGTACTGGAAAAAGTGAAAGGTTTTGGGATATCATCCTCTGAAGAGCTGGCTTACTGCATTCTGTATTATTTCAAATTCTGTTATGCAGAACTGATTTTGTATATATACAATTTTTTCATGTATACACTTTTATAACAATAAATAAGGAATATACATGAAAAACAAGAAATACAGTACTTACCTTTGACCTTTTTTTTTTTTTGATTGGCTGCCAATGAAATTCAATCCTACTTTTTTTATTCTGATGGGAGTGGTACACTAAATAATTTTTATTTACTCAAATAATGCACCTAAGAACACAATAATAACACCACAAAGTAAACTATGTTCTGTAACTGTAATTTAACTGGCTTTGTAACTATGCTGTAAGAACCTTTTATGCTAGTTTTTTTAATATAAACTAATGATGAGGGTGTCACTTTGTACTCGTATAGTCTTTTATAGATTTGATACTACTAACTTTTAATATAGTATATCTTCACAAAATTTGGCAGTCTTTCAGTAAACATTACAACTCTTTCACATACAAAATTCATATTGATATCGAGTATTTGTTTTGCAAAGTCCTCGTGCAAAGTGATTTTCATGTTAAGATTAAAAAAACTTTTCTTCATCTCAAAAATCTCAGATTTGATTTGTGTAATCTCTAAAATCTCCTAAATACATCTCAAACGTTTGATTTCAGTAAAACTTTATATTTAATCTGTTCTTTTCTCTATCATAACTCTATACCTTGTAACCACCAAAATAAAAAAATAAATCAAAATTACCCTTTTTTTTTCTACAATGACTTCAAATTGTAACATGAAACTACATTTGTTTATCCTAAATAGCTTTAAATTTGTAACAGCCTACATCTTCTTATAATTCAGATTTATTGTTTTATTGCCCTTTGAACCATGTCTAACTACTATTTGTGCTGTTATAAGATATAACAACTATCTCAATGCAACTTCTTAAAAATTGAAAATTAAGACTAAAGTTTAAAAACACTTTATATGCAAAGAATGAGTTTACTCACTTGGGGAATAAAATATTGCATCATTTCCCTTATTGTTGGTAGTGTACCCAATGCTTTGTTAATATTTTAAGGGAGAGTAAAAAAAAGAGTTCCTACCATTATAGAAGGAAAAGAAAAAAAAATGCAACAGATGAAGGTAATTGATTTTTACACTTCTTGATACCATAATTTTAAAAGTTATCCATTTTATAATGTCACATTGTCAAGAGTTCAATCAAGAAAAAATCTCAAGATCTTAGTCCAAGGTGGTGATTATCATGGTGTTTATACAAAAAATAATGTGTACAGAGATATATTTCGTTTATAGTCATTCCATATTTTTAAACTTTACTTTGAATCTAAATACAATAACTCCATATTTTGCTTTGTTGGTTTCTTTTATCAATCATATCTGACTACATAATACAACAAAGCATCATTTAAAGAATTTGTCTATATAAAATATACCCTTCTCATATTTATAGTATTCCACTTAATAATGCTGCTTATATGAAAAAATCTTTTGGCATTGGTTCTTTTGATACAATACATACTTTGTATGTAAGAGATCAAGAATTCACTTCTGTCTTTATCATTTTTTTAAGCTTTTTTCTTAAATAGTATTTCAGTATCAAATAATTTTAGGTCATACATTGTATGTGAAGCATGATTTTTATCCAAAGTTAACGTCATTACAAGGTTACCATTGAATACATCTTATCCTTTTGAACCTTAATGTTGAGCCCTTGACCTTTTGCTTTGGGTAACCAATCTTTGT